ACGTCTTGGAGGTACAGGAGGTGGTTGTGTACTCTGTACTGGAAGTGGTTGTGCACATGGTTGTGGTTGTGCATTTTGGCGTGGTTTAGGCACTGGTGGTGTCAGTTGTGTGGATGACTGATGTGGTTCAGGTGCTGGTTGAAGATTCTTGAGTGTCTTTTGTGATAAAACTAAATGTTTTTCATTTTAAACTTTCATTGTAATAAATATATACCTTTTATTTTTTCAGTAGCTACTCTCATTTTATGTAGCAGTTTTGGATGTTCTTCAAATGCTCTTATAAGCATTCCTTCATGATCATTAGCAGCATTTCTAATCTTTCTTATAGTATCAGCATCAAGCAGTGGTAGAGACTCCTCCAGTTGTCCTTTGATCAATAACTTATGAAACTCTATCAATTCAGATACTGTTGGTCTATCATCTGGTATATCCATTAATGCAATAGGAGAGAGTGGAGGACCTCCTATCAATGGCTTGTTTGTACCAGGAGGAGGAGCTGGTCCTGTTGTTGACGAAAAGAGCAAAAAAATTCATAATTTCAAATTCCCATAAGAATACTAAAATATTATTCATTTATTTCATATTATTTATTGTAGCTGTATATGGCATACTAATCTATGAATTGCTTTTATTCTTAATAATCAATTATTGGGTATACGTACACTCACCAGTAGCAGTACTGTGTACATCATTGGTTCCTTTGATATCATTACCACTGATCATAGCATTACGTTCTATAGAATACACACACACAGTCAATACTAATACAATCAGTGATATTAACTTACTCTCTTGATCTAACTTGTCAGCTGCAGCATTCTCATTCATAGATTTAAGAGCATCTGACAGTGAGTCAAAGGTAGCTCCTCCTTTACTGTCAACGTTATCAGCTCTGGACAACCACTGGGAGAGGCACTCTGTCAAACATCGAGATACATCACCAGGATGATTCCTTTCAATGGCGTCCAGTGTGTTCTTGTGTAGTCCTAGTGTCAGTCCCAGCTCATGCCATCTTGTCTGAGGGAAACCACATCTCTTTAACAGATTAAGTACATCAATAAGTTGATCTATAAAACATAATATATAACTAGCTACAGCTTTAAGCTTCACTTTACCCTTTTCCACCAGCTCCTCAAACTCATCTCTTATATTAGAATCAAGAGATGCAAAACAAGAATGAAGATTTTCAATATTGGCAGCAACTTCATCCTTTGAACTGAGCTCAATGACAGTAGTAGGAGTAGATGATTGTGATCCAGTGATTGTTGGTTGTGGTGTGTGAGATTGTGCAGTGACATCCACTGGTTGAAGTGGTCCCTTACTGACTGATGGTTGCTGCTCTAGATTAGCATCAACATGACCACCTTTTCCTCCTAAATTAATAATAATAAATAAATTAATAAATAGGCTATATAAAATACTGTATCTTACTTAAATTTGTCATTAGTTTATATGCCATGTTCTTTAGTCCTACTTTCTGTAGTGATGTAATGAGAGAAGAGAACACACTGTTAGGATTAGAATGACACTCAAGTGTTGCTAGTACTGAAGAGAATATTTTATTAGCTCTATCATAAGGGGTGAGTCCAGTGGTTCCAACAGTAACATGTACTGCTTTAGGAATGAGATCAGATGAAAAGAGATGATTGTTTAATTGTGAAATAACTGGAGCATTTCCTGCCAACAGATCAACAAGATCAGCTAACATCTCTTTCATTGTAATGTATTCTGGTGACTGTGTGCCTTGTATTAGTAATGGTACAGCTAAAGGAATATTAATAGTAGATTCTGTTTGTGAGGATTGTGTAGTTATTGATGGTTCGTGTGGTTTGGATGATGTTGGTGAAGAAGTTTCGACTTTTCTTAAATGAAATGAACCTATTAATACTATAAAATAAACAATTAATGCAGTTAGCATGTTACCTTTTATTTTTCCAGTAGCTACTCTCATTTCATGTAGCAGTGTTGGATGTTCTTCAAATACTTTTCTAAGAAGAGACATTTTTTCATGATCATTAACAGCATTTCTAATCTTTCTTATAGTATCAGCATCAAGCAGTGGTAGAGACTCCTCCAGTTGTCCTTTGATCAATAACTCATGAAACTCTATCAATTCAGATACTGTTGGTCTATCATCTGGTATATCCATTAATGCAATAGGAGAGAGTGGAGGACCTCCTATCAATGGCTTGTTTGTACCAGGAGGAGGAGCTGGTCCTATTGTTGACAAAAAGTAAAAATTTTATGCAGTAGATTTGAAATTAAAATTCACAATTTCCCAGAAATATAATAAATATTATTCGTTCATTTAATATTATTTATTGTAGCTGTATATGTTATATTAGTCTGTGAATTATAATATATTCTTAAAAATCAATTATTGGGTATATTACAACATACTGCTGTGTT